AAAAAAACTAAAGTTAGTTTTGAAGACTCTATTTGCTTTTTTGACAATCCAACTCGACTCTGTTTAAAATTGCAAACCCTTTCTTCCCCAGAGCTGATTTTAGCATGAGGGGAGTGACTTGCCTGATGCACAAATTTAAGGAGATACAAAAAAACTTAGTAATCAAGAGAAATACTATTTTTGGAGATAAAAGTTAGTGCAAAAATATCCATAATGATCAAAATATCAAAATTTTCATTTGACTTATTCTAACCATCACCACTGTTCTACAGCAGTGACACTGTTGTAGAACTCCAAAATTTAGGTTCATATATCTGAAGTGCAGTAAGTAAAACACTGACACATCAGCACTTAGGAGCAGAGAAAAGTTTATTCAATTTGGCTAAAGTGAGAGGGCAGGAGAGATGAGCTCTCAAATCTGACCTGCCTTTCAACATAACTGTGGGCTTTTATGAGTAAGGTAGATATGCAGGAGGGGAGATCCCCGATGATCAAAGTTGTCTGCGTCTCTAGGGTGATCAAACTTCTGCATGCCATCAAGGAGGTCTGCATGACCTAAGGATCATTGTTCTTTAAAAGAAAAACGAGTCCATTAATCCTGCTGGTTGCCCCCAAAATTTAGGATATGAAGTTAAACAATTACTAGTGACTATATTCTCTCAAAATGACTCTATACTCCATGCTTGCTTGCATGGAAGAAGAAAAGAACAGACAAAGTAAAATGAACACATAATGATTTTTATAACATAGGCTCAGTTATACCACCAGGCATGTTTTTAACATTTAAGTGCTAATGCTTCTAAGTGTATTGCTATTAATTTAAGATAAACATTCCTCATGTTATGAAACTACCCCACAAAGAGATTGAATTTTATTAAACACCTTTTCAACATAAATTGTGGTAATTGGTTTTTCTGCACCATCCAATTAATGTGATAAATTATAATATTCCTAACATCAGCCCACTCTTGCACTTCTAAGTCACATTAATCATAGTATATTTTAATTAAATGTTGAAATGTTCAAAAATTTTAATACTGGGTCTTTGCATAGTCATAAGTGACATTCATCTTTAAATTTCTTGATAGTGCCATTAGGCTTGAGAAATAATAAAATCCAAAGCCCCCAACTGACTGAATGGACCCCCAGTTGGCCAAGGGAACTCTGGAAAAACCTCAGAAGCTGAGTTCCCATTCATGTCAGGAGAGATGGGAGGTCAGACACACCACATTATTCCCTTCCCTTAGCTAAGTAACATTAGGCTTTCTTCCCTACAGTCTAAACAGAAACCAGCCCTTTCAAAAGACTCCACACTGAAAATGTCAATGATTAGTTTATCTTCCCAGGTACGCCAAAAAGACATAGATTAATTATTCCTTCACTCCTGAGACATCTGCTTCCTGTATTCCTTTTTTCTTCAAATGTTTACCTTATATAAAATGTAGATTTACTGGGCACTAAAGTCTGAAAACTATATAATCATTAATCTCACTGCCACATCCCCTTTTTAAAGGAAAATATATAAATACTAAACCTTTTGAGACCCTCTAAAGAAAAAACAGCCACAGATGCACCTGTGACCCCTATTTTTCCCAGACGCATTCTCAAGCTGGCTCAATAAATCTTGACGATTTGAGACTTATGCCTCAATCACTCATTTTGGTTGTCAGGCTCTATTATCAATAGTTTTCATCTTTAAAAAATCAATTAGAAAAGCTGTCTTCCTCTATAATGCCCTGAAATGGTTTCAGAAATATAAGAATTTTCCTTTTTCTGACAGTCTGGTAGAAATTATCTTAAGAAACATTTACTTTTGTTGGATTTTTCTTTGGGCAGCTTGGAAATCCTGTTGTCTGTGAAGGATGAGATGGTGACTGGCCCAAGGCTATCACGTGAAAGAAGTCACCACTTTGGTATATACTTTCTTTTCTGTGTTTGTTATAATAGCGCCAGTTAGCTTTCTCTAACTAGCAAGACTGTCCTCACTGGGAATCAATCTCAGTAAAGCCACCTCTCTATGTATCACCTATGCCAAATGTCAGCAGCAGTATTACTGTTCTGTGTGGATAAAAGCCCCAGTAACATTACTTGCAAATTTTTACAAAAACCATTTGCCCCCTCTGACTGCCAAGGTCTGTTCTCCAGTCCTCCACATTGACCCACGGGTGATTGACCCACAGTGTGATTTCCTGGCCCCTTTCAAGGCACACAGGTTCCAAAACGTTGGGAATATTTGAAGCAATAAGTGTTTTGTATGCTAATGAGATGGCTGGTAGCTGGAGGCTCCTGGATAGTCTCAGGATGGGGGCTGGTTGCTAGGAGAACCAACTATGTGATTAAAGGGTTGGAACTTTCAGCACTCCCCATACCAGCCTCCAAAGAAGCAAGGGGGTGCTGAAGGTTGAGTTTATGACAATGGCCACTGACTTAATCAATCATGCCTACCTAATGAAGCTTCCACAAAAAGATGGGATTCAGAGAGCTCCCTGGTTGCTAAACACATCCATGTGCTGAGAAGATGGCACAAGCCAAATGCACAGGGATAGAACCTTCCAAACCTCGCCCTATGTGTCTCTTTCATATGGCTGTTCATTTGTATCATTTGAAATATTCTCTTATAATAAATGGGTAAACATAAGTAAAGTATTTCCCTGAGTTTTGTGAGCCATGCTAGCAAATTATGGAACCCAGGGAAAAGAGAGTTGTGGGAACCCTGACTTATGGCCAGTTTGTCAGAAGTACAGGTCACAACCTGGAACTTGCAATTGGTACTTCAAATAGGGCAGAGTCTTGTGGGACTGAGATCTTCACCTGTGGGACATGATGCTACCTCCAGGATGATAATGTCAGAATGGAATTGAATTATAGGACACCCAGCTGGTTTTGGAAAATTGCTTGGTGTGGTAAAAACCCACATTTTGGTGACCAGAACTGTGCAGGAATTGACAGTGTTATCAAAGAAAAAGTGTTAGTTTTTGCCTTACAATAAGCTAAGAGGCTTTATTTTCTCCCACAGACAAGGAGAAAAACATTGTTTGTGGTGAACTAAGGAAGGCCACAAATTATTCGACACTACTCCCATCAACAATTGATTGCCCTAGAATCTGAGCTGGCCTGTACTATTTTCACCAATAGAGGATAATGGAAATGACTTTATGCCAGTTCTGGGCCTAGCTTTTAAAATAACTGACAGCTTCCTCTTGGCCCTTTGAAATCCTGAATCCCTACCCTGCGGAAACCACATGGAGAGGTCCTAAGACTAGAGGCAATGCTAGAGTAAGTAGACAGATATGAGAGCAGGGCAGGAGAGAGGCCCCCCAGGAATGCCAAGCAATGGTTGAGCCATAGTCAAGCAATCATAAACCTTTTCCTCTGAGATAATGAACAGGACAAGGGAGCGCCCCCAGAAATGTCTGGCTCTCATCAGGTGAAGGACAGGTGAGCATAAAACTATCCCACTGAGACAATAAGTGGCCACAACTGCCACCAGAAGGGAAAGGAGTCCTCCAACAGATAGAAAACACCTGGAGCCAGCGAACCACAATCCCTGATAAAGTATCAAGTGTGTGCAAAGGGGAGCAAGATGGTAGACTTTGACCTGTATATGACCTTCCTGTATATGACCAGTAAGGAAAAGTCGTCCCAAAGGAGCATGCATACAACTTCAGTAAACACGCTGTGCACGGGACCCCTTACAAGTGCTGGCAGGCCACTGCACACGGGTAATCAAGCAACAACCTGCCCAAGGGAAGGATCAGCAGGGGAGAAGAGCCTGGAAGACGAGTCAACGTATAAAGTCTCAAACCAAGGATCAAGAGAGGCACTTGAATCTCTCAAGTGGCCTGCTTGATTTCTTTAAAGTGTACTTTGCTTTTTTTTAATAAACTTTGCCTCTGCTTTAAACCTACTTCTGCCTCTCAGTTGAATTCTTTCCTCTGAGGGGGCAAAGACCAAAATTGCTGAGAATCACTAGTCTTCTGGCTGATAACAGGAAGAGGGGTCTGGCTCAACCCAGCCTTTCAGCCCTCCCTGCCAAGGCAGCAGACGTATAAAAGTTATCTGGGACCTCCAGAGCAATCTGGTTGCCAGGTGAATACCACCAAGGGACCCCAAGTGATACCTTATGGAGTATAAGAAATGCTCAGCTGGGCCCTGTCTGAATTCCAATCCAAGTTATGAGATTTAATAAAATCATTATTGTTTTAAGCCACCAAGTTTTGGGATAGTTTGTTATACAACCAATAAATAACCAGAACAGTCACACACAAAAAAATTTTATTGTGTCGTGTTTTTGCCAAATGAAAGACTCTCTTTCTAGCTCTAGCCCAAATAACCTTATAATCCCTTAAGGAAATTAATCCTCCTTATCTTTACAATAAGCTATAGAAAGTGTTCATTGTAGAAGTAGACTCCTATTTCTATTGAAATTAGTGATTCTCAACTATTAGTATACTTAATAATTTGCCTGGGAAATTATCAAAATGCTGGTTTCCAAGGACCCTTACCCAGACATTCTGATTTGGTAAGTCTAGTGTGGGGTTCAGGAATCTCCATTTTAAGACAGATACCCAAGTGATCTTGACACTGGTGATCCCAAGAACACACATGGAGACACATTTTAATAAAAGGTGCCAGAGACAGTGGGGCTGTGAGCTAAGCCATGTCAGTGGAAGTAAGGAAAAAACAAGGCACTTTAACTGATCTTCCCTGTCCGCATCCTCCAGCCTCATATCCAGGATTCCCTTATCTGCATTCTTAAGCTCTGTATCCAATTAAAAACATATTATACTTTTCAGAGAGTTTTATGCTTTTTATTTTGTTTTAGCCTCTCAACCACTGTGTGAAGTAGAACAGATATTTTACAGAGAAGTGGGTATCTGACAGCTGCCAAGTGCACAATTTCTGGGCATAGAGTATCTGAAGTTAAGCACCCAAGTCTGGGTATGTATCTATGTATGTATGTATTTATATTTATATTTTTAAAGGAAAGTTTCTTCAAATCAGAAACACCGCCACCAAGACCCATTTTCTTCATTATGATAGTTACAATCTGGCTTAATGATTAAGTGTGGATTGCTAACTCCCACAGCTTCCAGCAGCTTCTGGGCTTCCTCATCAAATGCCTCTTTGCACAACCTGAGAAAACAAGGGAACATCTCTTTTCCTGTATTCAATTTCCCTACAGCCCTCCACTTTCTCTGTAAAGGATTTATTTCAGGAGAAAAAAGAAAACTGTTCTGTTAAAATAGAGAGAGAATATTATAACATGGGTGAGGAGTGGGGAAGGGAACTGAGAGATATAGTGAGGGAGATACAGAAGTTGAAGGAAAATAGAAGAAATTAACAGAAGAGAAAGAGAAACCAATTAAAATTAAAAAGGATCCTCCAAGAGCCTTTTGCTATCCAAGCAAAATTAATACTACTACTGATAATAATGAAAACAACTAACACATTTATTGTTTATTGTTATGCTAGGCACCATTCTAAGTACTTGGTCTATATTGACTCAGATGCTCATAATAACCTTACAGGTAGATTTTATCATTTCACCCATTTTACTGATAAGCAAATCAAAACAAAGAGCAATGGGGGACTAGCTTTAATTAAACATTTAGTAAGTGGTAGGGACAGAATTCAAACTCATCTAGGCTGGTTTCAGGGTGCTCAATATTCAACTACTGTGCTATATTATATCTCTCAAAATCCAGTGTTCTATGAGAGAAAAACAAATAAGTGTCTAGAAAATACCCAAGGATACATAATTAGGTTGATTCTGAGGCCTGTAGTAAATGAGTGGCTCCCCAAATCCTTCATTACAGGAAATGCTCCCCCTGAGAAACTAATGGAGACTTACCCTAGAACTTGTAGTTTACACTTAGGAGACTTCAAGACTTTATATAACTTCATAATTCCTTCATACCCTAAGGTATTCTGTGTCAGATTCATTTTTATCAGTCTTTGGTTGCAGATAAGAGCAGAGGAGAGATCTTGACAGCAGAGAGATGTCAAACCACAGTATTCCAACCTGTAGAGAAGAGAGACAAAAGCCAAAAATGAATTTATTCGATGACACAACAAAGCCCACAAGAGATCTGTGAACTCAGAATGGAGGATAATTCAGAAACTTTAAAAAATGAGCACAGTATAAATTCAAGGACTATAAGTACCTATAATATTCATTATTACCAGATATTTCCAGGCTGAACTTATCCCTTCCAAAATCATGAATTACAAATTCATAATTATTAAGGAATAAATAAAACATACACTCATGTTACAAAATACTATGAAGCAGTTGAATCCTTGAACATCACTAAAAATACATCACTATAACTAGATATAGGAATTTTGATAGTGAGTGTTTAAAAAGCAAGGAATAGGCCAGGCATGGTGGCTCATGCCTGTAATCCCAGCATTTTGGGAGGCTGAGGCGGGCAGATCACCTGGGGTCAGGAGTTCGACAAGGCCAACATGGTGAAACCTCGTCTCTACTAAAGATACAAAAATTAGCTGGGGGTGGTGGTATGAACTTGTAATCCCAGCTGCTTGGCAAGCTGAGGGAGGAGAGTCGCTTGAACCCAGGAGGTGGAGGTTGCAGTGAGCTGAGATCGTACCACTGCACTCCAGCCTGAGCTACAGAATGAGACTCAGTATCAAAAAAATAAAATAAAATAAGCAAGAAACATAATAAGGTCTCTAGCATCATGCCATTGATGCAAATAAAAATGCAATTCTATGGCATATTTTGAATACATTAGGTCAGCTGCCTATAGGTGGGAAAGAAAATGGCTAATTGAGATAAATTAACCAACCCACCCATCTGTCAGTCAAGAGCCTCTGCACAAGCCGATAATAGTATATACATGAACTGAGGAAGCATGTCAAACTCAACCTTCTGCATCTAACATTCTCCTAAACAATTTGAATCTAATTTTTACCTTATGTTTACCTGGCCATTGAACAACTGAGTGCCTATACAGATGCTGAGCATACAAAACTTTTTTTTGTTAAGTGATCACATTTATGTGATGAAGAGATGGTCCCACTAATTATGAGACAGGGTATGTAAATATCACACAAAATCTTCCTTAGTGGAAAAAGCATCATAAAACATAAAGTGTTATCATGAATTCATCAGGAAATACAATCATTTTATATTTTCAGTCACAAATTACAGTCTCAAAATATAGAAGACAGAAACGAACAGAACTGCAAAGTGAAAGACTCAAATAATTGTAACATTTTTCACAGTAACTGAGTTATCTGGGAAAAAGGTCACTAAAATTTAGATAGTTTAAACAGAATTAATAATCTTAATCCACTGATACAGAATACTGCAACTGCCTGGGCACAGTAGCTGGCACCTGTAATCCCAGCACTTTGGGAGGCCAAGGAAACAGAGTAGCTTGAGGCCAGAAATTCAAGACCAGCTTGGGTAACAGAGTAAGACCTCATCACTCCTCCCCCGCCCCCTGCCCCCAGCCCAAAAAAGAAAAAAAAAAAAAAGCCAGACATGACAGAAAAACCCCCTGTACTTAGAAAAACTAAAAACTAAATTAGAAATAACAATTTTTCATGTTCTTAAGTATGTTTAAAAAGTCATGTAGCAAATGACAACAAACTTCAAAGAACTGTACTCATGCACAGTATGTTCTCAGAAAACAATTCTACAGACTGAATATAAAAAGAAAAGCCTCGTATTTGAAAATTAAGGAGTATGTTTAAAAATAACCTGTTAGTTGAAGAAAAAAGTTCTAGGTAAGTTTACAAATGTTGTGGACTCAAAAATAACAAAAATACTGCATACAATATCAAAATTTTATGATTAAGTTAATGCAGTCATTTGAAGGGAAGTTGTAACCTTAAATATCTTTGTTGGAGAAGAAGAAAGGGACTATGTATGTCTAAGCATCCAACTCGAGAATTTAGCAAATGGTAAAATAAACCCAACAAAAGTACAAGAAAAAATAAGATAAAAACAGAAATTAATGAAACAGAATGTAGATGTACAACAGAGTGGATCAACGTTGTGTTCTTTGAATACAAAAATAAATAAAGGGTCAAATTCAATATCAGAAATGAGAAAAAACATATCACTATAGATGATTAAGAAGTTAAGCAAATAATAAAATATTAGATGCTTGCCAATAAGTTTTAAAATTTAGATGAAATAGATAAAATCAACAGTATATACTTAACAAAAGTACTCTATGAGAAAGAGAAAACCTAATTATTTAAAAAATTGAATCAGAAGTCAAAAATTTTACACACAAAGAAACTCCAGGTTAGACAGCTTTACCAGAAATTTTTACAAAATTCAAGGAAGAAGTAATTCCAATGTTATAAAAATTCTCTCAGGAAACTAAAAGATAAGGAACACTCCTGAACTCATGAAAATACGGTAATTTTGATGCAAAAACTTGATGAAAACTGCAAAAGAAATTATAACCTATGTCCATTATGAACAAAATGGTTAAATGCTGTCACTAATATTGACATTAATAAAGTAAATTACACAATGTACATAGGAGATATGTCCAAGTTGGTTTGATTCCAAAAATGCAAACTTCATATAATGCATACATCAATGTGATTCATCACATTTGACAAAATTCTTCAGGGCTAAGCAACTTCAGCAAAGTCTCAGGATACAAAATCAATGTGCAAAAATCACAAGCATTCCTATACACCAATAACAGAGAGCCAAATCATGAATGAACTCCCATTCACAATTGCTACAAAGAGAATAAAATACCTAGGAATACAACTTACAAGGGATGTGAAGGACCTCTTCAAGGAGAACTACAAACCACTGCTCAAGGAAATAACTGAGGACACAAACAAATGGAAAAACATTCCATGCTTATGGATAGGAAGAAAGAATATCATGAAAATGGCCATACTGCTCAAAGTAATTTATGGATTCAGTGCTATCCCCATCAAGTTACCATTGACTTTCTTCACAGAATTAGAAAAAACTACTTTAAATTTCATGTGGAACCAAAAAAGAGCCCGTATAGTCAAGACGATCTTAAGCAAAAAGAACAAATCTGGAGCCATCATGCTACCTGACTTCAAACTATACTACAAGGCTACAGTAACCAAAACAGCAAGGTACTGGTACCAAAACAGATATATAGACCAATGGAACAGAACAGAGGCCTCAGAAATATCACCACACACGTACAACTATCTGATCTTTGACAAACCTGACAAAAACAAGCAATGGGGAAAGGATTCCCTATTAAATAAATGGTGTTGGGAAAACAGGCTCTGGACCCCTTCCTTACACATTATACAAAAATTAACTCAAGATGGATTAAAGACTTAAACGTAAAACCTAAAACCATCAAAACCCTACAAGAAAATCTAGGCAATCCATTCAGGACATAGGCATGGACAAAGACTTCAGGACTAAAACACAAAAAGCAATGGCAACAAAAGCCAAAATTGACAAATGGGATCTAATTAAACTAAAGAACTTCTGTACAGCAAAAGAAACTGTCATCAGAGTGAACAGGCAACCTGCATAATGGGAGAAAGTTTTTGCAATCTATCCATCTGACAAAGGGCTAATATTCAGAATCTACAAGGAATTTAAACAAATTGACAAGAAAAAAAAATCCCATAAAAAAGTGGGCAAAGGATATGAACAGATATTTCTTAAAAGAAGACATTTATGTGACCAACAAACACATGAAAAATAGCTCATTGTCACTGGCCATTAGAGAAATGCAAATCAAAGCCACAGTGAGATACCATCTCATGCCAGTTAGAATGGTGATCATTAAAAAGTCAGGAAACAACAGATGTTGGAGAGGATGTGGAGAAAGAGGAACACTTTTACACTGTTGGTGAGAGTGTAAATTTGTTCAACCACTGTGGAAGACAGTGTAGTGATTCCTCAAGGATCTAGAACCAGAAATAACATTTGATCCAGCAATCCCATTACTGGGTATACACCCAAAGGATTAGAAATCATTCTACTGTAAAGACACATGCACACATACGTTTATTGCAGCACTATTCACAATATCCAAAACTTGGAGCCAACTCAAATGTCCATCAATGATAGACTGGATAAAGGAAATGTGGCACATATACACCATGGAATACTATGCAGCCATAGAAAAGGATGAGTTAATGTCCTTTGCAGGGACATGGATGAAGCTGGAAACCATCATTCTCAGCAAACTAACACAGGAACAGAAAATCCAACATCCCATCTTCTCACTTGTAGGTGGGAGTTCAACAATGAGACCACACGGACACATGGAGGCGAACATCACACAACAGGGCCTATTGGGGGATGAGAGGCTAGGGGAGGGATAGCATTAGGAGAAATACCTAATATAGATGATGGGTTGATGGGTGTAGCAAACCACCATGGCACGTGTATACCTATGTAACAAACCTGCACATTCTGCACATGTATTCCAGAACTTAAAGTATAATTTAAAAAAAGAAAAAGAATATTCCTAGCAAACTAGGTGTAGAAGGCAATTTCCTTAAGTTGATAAATTGGTGAACCACTGAAATTGTGCTTTAAACATTGGGAACAACATGATAGTTCATTATCCCCAGACATGTTAACATTATATCACATATATTAACAGTTACTAAGGCATATAAAAAACGAAAAAAAAGAATATAAGAACAGAAAAGGAAAAAATAACTATACTGTATTATTCCTAAATGATGTGATTGTATACCTAGAAAATACAAAAGTATCTACAAATTAGCAACTAGAATAAGCAAGAGAATGTGGCAGGCTATTGGATAAGAAACCAACTTTTTAAAAAATCCTATGTTTCTATGTATAAACACAATGAAAAAAATAACTAAAACAATCATTTACAACAGCATGAAATATAGCAAGCACTTTGGAATAAAGTTAACCAGCAACAAAATACAAGACCACTCAAGAAAAAATTACTAAGCTTTATTGACAGACCTAAATAAATGAGATATGCCTTTTTGGTGTATCAGGAGACTCACTGATAGAATAAATGCAATTTGATTCAAGACATCAACATATAGGTAGGTTGGGGGGCAGTGCATATGTATGTAACTTGATAAGTTGATATTTCCAATTTATTTGCCAATGTAAAGGGGAAGGAGAGCCAAAATTCTCTTTAGGAAGATGGGAATACTTGCTGTAGTAGGTACCAGGGCTTATTATAGAGCTATATTAATTAAGACAGCATTGTTAGAACTGGGAATTACAAACAGGTCAGTGGAAGAGAAAACAGAACCCAGGAACAGATCCATGCACCAATGAAAATGTGGTTTATAACAAAGATGTCCCTACCAAGCAGAGGGGAAAAAAATTTCAATACCTTTTGCTGGAAAAAAAATGAGTATATAGGAAAATTATAAAATAGAACGCTACATCTACCTATATTTTTAAAAGGTAGATTAGAGGCTCCAAAGCTTCATAATTTGCCTTTGATATTTCAGAGATAATATATAATTAGAATATAATGTATAATATATAATGGGTTTCTGTAAATATTGTAAAGATGTTTTTCTCTCCCATTTGTATGATTCCTCCAGACCGAAGGTCTCCATGCAAGTAAAGGATAATTGGAGAATAGATGAAGTTCTAGCCACTAGGATGGGACAAACTGATTTCATCGGTGTAGGGGAAGAGCAGCAACAATATTTGGAATGGAACACCTTAGAACCTGGAGGTGTGGCGAGTGAGGAGAACAATTCATGCTCTATTTTTTCACCTAGATCCAAAACTTCAGCCTGGCAAAATAATTATGTGGTCCATGGAGTCTATGCAGCAACTGCAGCTAACAGACTGACCCACAACCTGGTTTGTTATGCCTGTCTATACACTATGAAAACAGAAAATCTAATATAGACATAGCAGGTCCTGAACTACTTTGCTGTGCCTGATGCCATCAATAGCAGCCTCCCAATATGGAGCCTTATCATATGTATACAAATACAATCACTAGCACAACCTTGTTTCAATTCGATACAAATCTGCAAGCTTCTCTTGATGCCAGAACAGCCTTGGAATATACCATGTATGAGAATGAGACAGCTACAACTACCAGTGAGACTGCTCACCTGGCTTAATCAAACTAGTGCAATGGCTAACCAAATAAAATATAACAGCAAATCCAAAATTAGAGTGACCTCTACTTTCAGTTACGTGTTTGCTTGTGGGGAAGAGCGGACTGCTAACTGTCTCTTTACTGGGGAGGAGGACTGCTTTTGGCCAATCTTTATTTATTTATTGCCAGTGACATCAAAGAATGGTAGGTCATTTTAGACTCCCTTGTATGAGTTCTAATGCATAAAAGACCTAGTAGTCCTTCCTGGAACTTTCTCAGTTGACTGAGTCAGACCCCTGTGGGAATGTTTGAAATCAATACTACACATTGGCCTCATCTCATGCTTGGAGTTTTGTTATTAGTGGCCTTAATTAAATGGTAGGATGAGATTAATTGAACAGATTTGGTCCCAATCTCCGTTAATCAGAGTGGCCAGTGGAGTAGCATATTCATGTGAAAATTCACCAGAAGCCAAGATTTTACTGTGTAGAAACAAGGGGTAGACATTTTGGGGAGATATTCTTCCATAGGTCTTTCTCTCCCCTACATGTTTGCTAACAAAAATGGAAGGCCCTGACAACTGTTTACCTCAGCCATTTTCCAGGGTTGTGTTTGTAATGAGCAACCTTGAGGGACAAAGAGTATTACTGCCTCCTGTAAAATCCTGGGTCTCTCAATCTCCATCTGGACCCTCTTCCATCTGGACCCTCTTCATCAGCCCTGTGAGACTTGGGAGATAAAAGGAACTGACACAAACATGCTAATACTCATGCTTTGCTCTGCTACAAGCAATAAAGTCCTTTGTCTCTGCTAAGAGTCTTGTGAGTTTGGTTTTGTTTTTGGCCAGCATCCATGAAACAGTAACAGGTGAATTTATTAGGTTGTAAGTAGGATAAAATTAAATCTCAGACCTAACAGTTACATCATCATCATTGCTATTATAAAAATATATAGTCAATGAAAACATAAAAGCTTCATTTTCTTGGAAGAGTCAGGGGAGATTTCTCTGGAAGACTGTTAAATTTCTAAAGGATGACATATGTCATTATGTCTGAGCTTCCCACACACAGAGCACAATTCTTGACCCTGAGGTCAATAATTCATGTTGTATAAGTGAAAATGTACTAGCCAGTATCAGTTCAAAATTAAACAAAAATCTAAATACAGAATTGAACGTAAGAAATGTCCACAACACAGAATGTGATTTTATTAGATTACAAGCTCTTTAAGAACATAGTATTTTACAGATAGAAGATAATTAGTAAAAATCTTCAATTTAATAAAAAATTAATTCAAAGACAAGTGGACTATCTGACGAATGATAGAACATGGAAGACCCAAACCAGGTACCACTTGGGTACTAAGCATCTGTCCAAAGTACTAAAGGGGACACAAAGAAATGTGAAATATGGCTTCTATAGTAAAGAACATGCAATACATTGATCCACTTATTTGAAATTTAGATTCTTTTTTCTGAGAGTAACTTACCTTCTAGCTCCATTTAGTTTGTATCCTCTCTCCATACACTAATTATCTTCTAGCTATACTAGCTACCAAATAGGCATCATTTTCTTAAAGGAAAACTATGAACTCACCCGAGCCTCTGAATGTTACAGTTTGGATATCTCAAAGCGTCACATAGAATTTTCACTCCATCATCCTGCAAATTGTTGTTCCCAAGGTCCAGGCTCCTCAGGTTTGGGTTGTATACAATAACAGAAGCCAGATCCAGACAACATGCATTAGTGAGAACACAGCCCATCAATCTGTAAGAATTACAATAGGAAAAGTGAATCCTTCCGTTGTGAGGCTTAATAAGTTTCCTCCTAGGAGATACACCCAGGTATTTGAACCTCTTTTCTATCTACAATCCAGGACATACATGGGAGAGTCTAATTTATCAGTAAAAACAGATGGGATTTCTTAATGAGCAGAAGAAACCAGCAGGTAAAACTGTTGTCTTCCACAAACAGGTTGTTATCTACAGAGCTTTAAAAATCAAGGGTATAAACATTTATTTTTACCAATACTTAAAAAAAATAAATATAAGCTTTCCCAAGGAACCAATAGATCTCTGTGCTTTCAGTTTTTAATATATCTTTAAGTGAAAAAAGTTTCCTGGAATCCATCTCAAAGTATTATCTTCAAAGAAGAAAGCTACATATAAAAAGATATTTATTCCAGGTCCTTTGCGTGGTATTCAAGAGCACTCACAATCTGACCTCAAGCTTTCTCTTTCCATACTTTGTCCCCACAGTATTTTCTAACCACGCACATGAATTTTTCTCCAACTAAACCATATTTGTTGTTGTTTCTCTTCTATTCTCTCTCCTTCTGTTTAGCATATCCCCACATAACAGAATCTTCGTCATTTTTCTAGCCTAAAGTAACTCTGTCTCCACTAAGAAGTCCCAACCTTAATCCCTGAGACTGTTGTCATATCCTTATAACAATGTATGGAATATATTGTAATTTGCTTTATATTTATTTCCCTGTAATCAGCATTTTATGTTATTTGGGGACAAAAGCATCACCTTAGTGACTTTTAGTTTCCTTAGCATCTAGTTCATATTGGTTGAAAATATTGGTTAAGAGAATTGACATGGTCTGCATAGAGGCTTTGGAAGGTAACTAAGCAAGTACAGCTTTGTTTACAGCATTGCTAAGGAGAGAAAGTTGGCTAGCAAAGACCTTGAGTATATAGGTCACTTAGAAATTGTATCTCTGTAGTTAAATGAAGACATTGGATTTAACAACACCCATTAAGTAAATCTTTGTCTTCCAGTTGAATAATGATGAACGAAATTCCAGAGAATCAGAGAATCACAAAATAACCCATATCATCTACACTTTCCTAAAGTAAGTAAAGGTATTGATTGGACCCTATGGTGTAATTGCCTTTGTGTTTAGAGTTGTCACATTAAACTATTAAACTCATTTGGAAGTTTAGTTATCATGAGTCAGTCTGGTCAAGACAAATACTTCTTGGTCTACCAAAGAGCTTGACTTTACAGATCTGAAAAACTATGCTGGGGTTAGACCCTTAATGACTCACAAAAGTTACTGGTCACTTGGGAGGCCCTGGTAGGAAAGGGAGCTGAGATTGCTAAGTGATGCCTCTGCCTTGATTCATGCCGGCCAAAGTATTTATGCAATGAAATACAAAATACCATACAGTCATTAAAATAATCAAGAAGATAATTTGAAATAAGTATTTAAATGTATTTCTTCTTTATTCTCAGCATGCACACCTTGATAAATGTATTTCTGAAATACTGTCAAGTGAAAAGGAAACCCCAAATCATATCCATACAGCAATCAAAATTATGTATACACATGCAATTCATATATATGTATACCTGCTCACAGACTGAGAAAACATAATACTAATGAAAATAGTTGGAGTTTAAAAATGTGTAGGACATTGTTAGAAATCCCCTTTCCATTTATTTGAAAGTTTACTTAATTGTAACCTGAATTTAAATATAAATCTAAAAGAAAAACTAGTAGATCACAATTTCAACTTCATGGATAAAAGTAGAGGACACACAGTAGATTCACTGGGGCACAACCAAGGAAAGAATAAAATGGCTACTGTTCAGCAGTGGAATGTAGGATGTTGTAAAAATCCCCTTCCCAATTTCTTTGGAAGTTGACCTAATTATAAACCTGAGTTTAAACATAAATCTAAGAGAAAAACTAATAGAGAACAATTTCAGCTTCTGGATTAAAAGTAGAAGACACACAGTAGATTCACTGGGGCACAACCAAGGAAAGAATAAAATGGCCACTGTTCAGCCTGATGCCTCTGGTCCTTATTACCTGAGGAAAGTTTATTAGAATTACTATGGTAATTATTTTTACAAATCTGATGAGCAGACTTCCCCAGCTTGTCTCAGGCAGAAGAGAGAGGGAAAATCAGCTGTATATTCTTTTCTCTGACAGATACTCGGTTCTCAGCCTTTCTTTCAGTATCTCCCAGACACTGTTGTTGAAACTACACAAAAGGAAAGCAACAGAAAACCTACTCCAAGTCCTGAAGATTACAGCTTGGATGCCGAAAGACATCACACAGAAGCTTCATTCCATTGTCTTGTAGCCAGTTTGATCCTAGATCCAGATGCGTCAGGCTCTTGTTGTGTAGAAGGGAAGTTGACAGATATTCACTGCTAAGTGAAGTGAAATGGCAATGCCTCAGCCTACAGGAAGGACAATGTGAAGAAAGATGGAATTACTGCAGTACTGTCCAGAGATTTCTCTCTTTGAAAAGATTTCATGATTTGATCCCTTATTTATTTGTCAACATTCCATTTCAGATGAAACACCCTCACTGTCAGCCTGTCTCACTTGGGAAACAGATTTACATCAAATTGGGCTACAAACTAGACTCATATTCTTCAGTATTTTTCTTACAATAAATCAAATGCTAATCTCATTACATTACACATATACATAGTACTCTACTGCAGAAGTATCTCCATGGACTAGAAGAACAGACAGATGGAGTAGAATAAGAGTAGTCATAATAAAGTAAGTACTCTTTGTACGTAATAGAAGCGGCATTTTCAAACAGTAAGGAAAATCTGTATTATGCTATTATTGCTTTTGTACAATAGATCTGATATATGGGGAAAAATAAGTTTAAGCCTTATAACAAAATAAATCTGGAATAATTTAACATGTAAATGTTAAAAGTAAACCATAAAGAGTATGAGACGATATATGTGTATTTTTTTTAAAAAAAGAAATGTACTTCCAATTACGACAAAACTTCTTGAAGTCGTGAGGCAGAATTTGACATCACAAAAATTTTTAAACTTATCTATTCTAAAAATGACCATAAAGTTAGAAATAAAGCAACATGCTGAGAAAATGGTTTGCAATATATATAAAATAATATTGTATATGTGATATTAATAACTATAATATATAACATATATAATAGAAAACATCAGGAAAAAACAGCCTATGAAGAGGAAATTCCTAAATATAAAAGATCAAAACAACTTGAAAAGATGCTCAACATTTAAATTACTTTAAAAGTTACTTTTCAACTTTTTAATTAATATAGGTCAAAAAGATTATAGATGTCCAATGAGGGTGTTAAAGTGCAGGTCCCTAGACTGCTGCTGGAAATATAAACAATCTATCTGGAAGGCAACTTAACCATATTTGATCAAATTAAAATCTTGGCTTATTAATTCAATGTTTAGAAAATTATCTAACAAAAATGAACAGAATAATCACAATGTGATTCAGACATACAATGGAGTGCTATATTTCTGTTCTGAGCTCAGATTCTAGAGTAGGATAGGTGGTAGGCTTTAGTTCTGAGTTCATCATTTTCTTGTGAGATATTAAACAAGGTGTATTATCTTCCTAAGGCTCACATTCCTCATCTGTAGAGGGAGGCCCCTCAAAATAGGGTGGCCAATTTGACAGCATTAGATACTATTTTGCACAATAAGCATATTTAACACAAGATCCAGGGTAGAGTTAGGACACAATAAATGTCAATTATTAATATCATTTTCACCTTCTTCTTCATTAAGGGTAACAGGGAAAAAGCAAGGAACAGAATGTGTTCATAACATTTTACTATTTTAAACATATTTCAAAATGTACAATATATATTAAGGATAAAACTTGAAGACACTTACACAAGGCTCTGCAGAGTACACTGTGCATGTTGTAGGGCATCACTCATAAGCTTTACTCCACCATCTCCTAAGACATTGTCTGCCAAGCACAAATGTGTCAGTCTTTTATTGCTGATGAGAGCCAAAGAAAGATCCTCACAGCCAGCCTCTGTGAGACCACAGCTTTCTAAGCTGAAAAAGAAACAGAGATGAGAAGGGATCCGTCAATTCCCAAAGCTCATGCTTCTCTTCTCCTTCACAGGGAAATCAGTGGTGCTTGTAACCCCCATATCTTGACTATAAAATTAACCTCAACAAACCTATTTAAATTATGAATTCCATTGCAGCTGTTTGCAGGATATAAAACATGGAAGGGGAGAGGGGAAGCTTAGAAAAGAATGAAAGTAAAGAGCTCAATCAGAAAAAAAGATAGGTCTAAAAGTGAAGTAAAAGAGAGGGAAGTAGAAGAAGAGAAGGGGGATACATGTAGAGCTTATTCAGGATTGACAAATGAGTCAGTTAGTGTCAAGACCCAAGCAGTTCCCCCATCAGATCATAATTAAGCTACACAGAACCAAGCAAAATGACTCTACAGAAAACAAAACAGAAACACTCACGACAGTCTCTCTAGATAACACTTTGGATGTCTTAAGGCCTCACACAAAAGCTGTACTCCATTGTCCAACAGATTATTGGTTGACAGATTCAGAAATATCAGGCTCTGGCTTCTGATGAGAACATTAAATATACTTAGACAACAAAATACAGTTAGGTTGCAGGATTCCAACCTGGAAAACAACACAGAAAGACAAGAATGACCATTCCTTAGAGAAGTAGTACAACCAACACCCACCGAGCCCAAAGGTAGGAAGTTTCCTAATCTTTGGGATCTTGCCTGAAAATCCAACTTCTCTACACGGAAAAAAGTTGTTTAACTAAAGCATAAGGCTCTGACAGAGTTAAGGAGGGAAGGGAAAGAGATTATTTATCGCATTCCCACCCCCTTAATTCCCTATAAAAATATATTTGAGAGCATTCAAAAATATCTTTAAATGATAATAGTTTTTAGTCTGGGAGGAATTTCCTCTAACTACAACTTGGAAGATATGGCTTGAAGGATGAGTGTATTCTTCTATACTCTGACTTCTGAAACAGAACAGAAATAGATAGGAAGTTGGGAGCAAAAGCTGTGTCTCCCGTGAGCTCATTTATCCATGAGCCCATGTTTGCTGAGGAATCCAGTCCTTAAGAGTGAAAAACAATACGTAAATCATAAATAAAACAAAACTATTTCTAAAGATTAAGAGAAACAGAAAAAGCACATGTATAGAGACTCATATTTAGAGACAACTTGTGCCTTGTACATGGTTGGGAGTATACTAACCCATTGTAATGAGTCAGGCAGCAGCAGCATTTCTGATATTTGGAATTTCTCTGGGTATTCCCTTTAATCAAGGACTTACCAACTTGAGTCACTCAAGAATTGTTTCTTTTCATCAAAATCAGGATATATAGAGGAAGGAACAGGAGAAGCTTCCTCCTAAGCCCAGAATTAGATCTTAATAGATGACCTAGAACATAGCCTAAGGCTGAAAAAGCTCAGCTTGCCCAAAAACCACAATTACTTTTGCACCAACCCATAACTAATAATCACCTTAAGTTAAAAACAGGCAATAGTACTTGGAAGTTTCTGTACTCAATGTACAGAAGAAAATGAAAGAAAATTATACCACTTATGAAGCACAATGGTACCGAAACATTTTTTAAAAAGTTTCTAGACACGGAGTAAGATGGCCAAATAGGACAGCTCCAGTCTCCAACTCCAGCGCGAGTGACACAGACACAGGTGATTTCTGCTTTTTCAACTGAGGTACTGGTTCATCTCACTGGGCAGTGCAGACAGTCCATGCTGGTCAGCTGCTGCAGCCTGACCAGCGAGGCTGAAGCAGGCGGGCATCGCCTCACCTGGGAAGTGCAGGGGGAAAGGGATCCCCTTTCTAGCCAGGGGAACTGTGAGACCACACCCTGGAAATATGGGTACTCCTACCCCAATACTTGCTTACCGCTCTTAGCAAATGGCACACCGGGATTATATCCCACACCTGGCCAAGAGGGTCCCACCCCCACGGAGACTCTCATTGCTAGCACAGGCAGTCTGCCCTCTACTGCAAGGCAGCAGCGAGGCTGGGGGAGGGGGCCCCGCCATTGCTGAGGTTAAGTAGAAGCCCTGGGAAGCTCGAACTGGTGTGGGCTACACAGCGTCAAGGAGTCCTGCCTGTCTCTGTAGACTCCACCTCTGGGGACAGGGCACAGCTAAACAACAACAACATAACAAAAAGCAGCTGAAACCTCTGCAGACACAAAGGTCTCGTCTGACAGCTTTGAAGGGCAGTTGGATCTCCCACCATGGAGGTTGAGATCTGAGAATGGAAGACTGCCTGCTTAAGTGGGTCCATGCCCTCGAGAGCCTAACTGGGAGACATCCCCCCACTAGGGGCAGGACCGACACCCCACACCTCACACGGTGGAGGTACACCTGGAGGAAACCTCCAAAGCAGAATCAGAAAGCTCGCTCCGCTGTTCCGCAATATTCTATCTTTCTGCGACTCTGCTGCTGATACGGCAAACAGGTCTGGAGTGGACCTCAAGCAATTTCCACAGACCTACAGACTGAGGGGTCCTGACTGTTAGAAGGAAACTAACAACAAGGAAGGACACCCACCACAAACCCCATCAGTACGTTCACCAACATCAAGACCAGAGGCCGATAAAACCAAGATGGGGAAAAAGCAGGGCAGAAAACCTGGAATTCAAAAAAGCGCGCATCTCCCCCTGGCAAGAAACGCAGCTCTTGTCCAGCATGGATCAAAGCTGGCCAGAGATCTTTGACGAGGGAGAGAGAAGCCTCAGTCCATCAAACTTCTCAGAGCAAAGGAGGAATTATGTACCGCGCAAGAACTATAAATCTTGAAAAAAGAGTGGAAGAATGATAACTAGATATTAATGCAGAGAAGGCCATAAACGAACTGACAGAGATGAAACCATGACACGAGATACATGGCAATCACCAAGCTTCAGTAACGACTCGATCAACTGAAAGAAGAGGGATCGGCAATTGATATCATTCTTATACACCAGTAACAGACAAACAGAGAGCCAAATCATGAATGAATCTTCCATTACCATTGCTTCAAGAGAATAAACTACCTAGGAATCCACTTACAAGGGATGTAAGGACCTCTTCAAGGAAACTCAAACCACTGTCAGTGAATAAAAGAGACACAACAAACTGGAAGAACTCCATCGTCATGGATGCAGAATCAATCTTGAAATGGCCCCATACTGCGCCAAGGTAATTTATAGATTCGTGCCAATCCTCAGCTACGCATGAGGGTTCTTCCGACTTGGAAAAAGCCTGCTCTTAAAATTTTATGAAACCAAAAAAAGAGCCTGCATGCCAAGGACAATCCTACGTCAAAGACAAAGCTGGAGGTCATGCTGCATGACTTCTTATAGGCTACAATGTTCAGTAACCACACGCAGTCTGGTACCATACAGGGAGATTAGCCAATGGACAGAACAGGCCTCAGGAAGATATACCACAATCTACAGCATCTGATCTTTGACAACCTCGAAAACAAGAAATGGGAAAGGTTCTCGTATTTAATAATGGTGCTGGGGGGAATAGGCTAGCTAAGTAGAAGCTGAAGGATCTTTACCTTCTCCTCCCGCTTCATTCAAGATGGATTAGAGACTTAAAAATGTTAGACCTAATACATATACAACCCCAGAAGAAAACCTAGGTAATTCCATTCAGGGACATTAGGCATGGGCAAGGATTCGTCTTCTAAACACAGCAATGGCAACAAAAGCCGAACTTGACAATGGTAATCTAATTAAACTAAAGAGCTCTCCACAGCACAAGAAACTACCATCAGAGTGAACAGGCAACCTCAAAATGGGAGATTTTTGCTTCTCACTGACAAAGGCTAATATCCAGAACTACAAAGAGACTCAATTTACAAGAAAAAAACCAACCCATCAAAAGTAGGCAAAGGATATGAACAGACACTTCTCAAAAGAAGACTTCCTACAGCCAACAGACACATGAAAAATGCTCATCATCACTTGCCATCAGAGAAATGAAAATCAAAACCACAAGATACCATCTCACACCAGTTAGAATGCAATCATTTAAAAAGTCACGAAACAACAGGTGCTGGGAGGATGTGGAGAAATAGGAACACTTTTACACTGTTGGTGGGATTGTAAACTAGTTCACCATTATGGAAACAGTATGGGTATTCCTCAAGGATCTGAGCTAGAAGTACCATATGAGCCAGCCATCCCATTATATACCCAAAGGATTATAAATCATGCTGCTATAAAGACACATGCACACGTATGTTTCTTGCGGCTATTCACAATAGCAAAGACTTGGAATCAACCCAAATGTGCATCAGTGACAGACTGGATGAGAAAAGTGGCACATATACACCATGGAATACTCATGCGCGCATAAAAAAAGGATGAGTTTTGTCCTTTGTAGGGACATGGATGCAGCTGGAAACATCATTCTTAGCGAAACTATCACAAGAACAGAAAACCAAACACCGCATGTTCTCACTCATAGGTGGAACTGAACAATGAGATCACTTGGACTCGGAAGGGGAACTCACACACCAGGGCCTATCATGGGGAGGGGAGGGGGGAGGGATTGCATTTGGGGAGTTATACCTGATGTAAATGACGAGTTGATGGGTGCTGATGAGTTGATGGGTGCAGCACGCCTACATGGCACAAGTATACATATGTAACAAACCTGCACGTTATGCACATGTACCCTAGAACTTAAAGTATAATAATAAAAAACAAAACAAAACAAAACAAAAAGTTTCTAACTGTAGATACAATTATTAAATAGTTGGTAGTTCATTTTCTGTTATCCTTCCCATGTTATGAGTTTCTTGAGATTTTTTTTTTTGTATTAGTGGTAATAGAATTTCAGCTATGGGACTGCCTAACTCTTTATGTATGAAATATTAGCCTCATTAAAACAAAATGTTCCCTCTTTCCCCTGCACCTGCAAAGAAAAGCAGAGAGTATTATAAATCAGAAAATCTTTTATAAGGATAATTTTGTTTTATTGTAATAATGAAATCTTATAAGAGACCTGGACTTTAGAAATTATTGCTATGCCTTGTGAAAACAACCCTTACCTACTATTAAGTCTGTACTTTTTATCAGTTGTCTTACTTTGTGTCACTGGTGTAATATTCACATTGATATTTCTGAATTCCTAAATTTTACAAATATTGAAAAGATTTTTTCAAATCAGAAAAAAATCATTAACACTCTCCTCTCACATGTATAAAGTAATAAAAAATATAACCCTTTCCTAATTTTCTAGAGTTTGGAGGTTGTTTTCTCACCTGTATTAATATGTAACATCAATCACCAGTGATTCAATCAAAAGGGAAGCCAAAAGCTGAGGATTATGGCTCCAAACTGACCCCTAAATATAAGCCAGCAAAATGGGAGACAAATTAGCTTATCACTTATATTTAGGTCCTTCTTAGGAGCCTGCACAACTTCCTCTTAATAGTGCTACCAAAATGACACCCTTGGCTAAAAATTTCCAAAGCCCGAAGCTCCTTAAAGGTAAGCAAGTTATGAATGTTTTTGTTGTCCTTATTGCTTGCTGTCTGTAGCACTGACCGGCTGTTATTGGGTATAGGTCCGTAAGATGGTACGGATGCTGTCGACTTAGAGAACCCATGTTCCATCT